CAGTTCCAGCTTTTCAAAGATAAAAATCTACCATTTAAAAAATCAGACTGTGTCTCTCGTGTGGAATCTTGGAAAGCTCACCTTGCCATGTGAGGCCTGAAGAGCTGTATCACATCATTTCAGAAGTGAAATTTCTCAAGTGGTGGAAACACTTCCATTTGGATGAGAATCTTCATTTCATTAAGTGAGGTTATATCACTTTTTTTTCCAAAATAAATACCTAACATAAGCTTCAGAAAAAATTGCTACATAATTTTGCCTCAAAACAGAGGTTCAATTACATATGATAATGTCTTGTGGTAATTTGACCCTGATATTCAAAGCCTATGTATTTTCTCATATGCAACAGTGTTGTGCCACTAAGATTATAGCAACATTACATGATAATCTTAATAACTGCCTGCATTTGATGATTCTACAGGATTTTCATCCTAACAGAGCAGTGAAGTTCAGTAATGATTACCTGAGTGCTGGAACAGAACTCACAGATGGACAGGATTGCAGTCAGACTAATTTCGGTGAGATTTTCTCCCCCGTTTTTACAGTAGACCATAAATACAGAAGTCAAGAATACAGAAGTAGTGCTTGGGAGCTTAGACACCAAGGCAGGAAAACATTCTGTGCCTATTTAAGTTCATCTTTTAAGTCTCAAAATGTGTCCAAGTTGAGCTTTAAGCAACGTACAGACTCTCTCAAAAAGTCCTGGGAATACTTCATCCCTGGAGAGCTGAGGAGACCAGTGAACTGCAGCCACAGGTCACAGCAATGTTTTTATTATAGCACTAAAACTTCAGATGTTTCACATACTCTTTTACAGTAGGAACTATAAATATCAATATTATCTCTACTTCTGAGCTCTGCCAGGGACATACATTCATGCAGAGATGTTGTTTAACTGCAGTCTCCCATTGGTGTCAGTAACAGCTCAGCATTTTGGGCATCTCATATTGGACTTAGGTTTTCATTAAATCAAACAGTTGTAAAGCCAGCATTACAATTCAGAAATTCCTACAGCATCATTTAACATACTTAATTCACATGTAAGTTTCATCCACTTTGTGCTCCCAGTCTGAGGCTTGGCAAGAGGCAGTCACGGCACTGGGAGCTGTGCAAACCTTTTGTTAAAACCAGTACGAACCGCAACAAGTATTTCATCACTTTCTCATGTGGAAAATTGATAAATACTGCTTTGATTGTGGATAAATTATTTCCAGATCCCTCCTCCAAGTTCTAGTTAGGATACTGACTTTGGTTTGAATTAACACTTGTTTTCCTTTCTGGTAGGCAGAGATGATCACAATCTTTTCTATTCAAGCGGCAAAGTAAAGAGAACCAAGTCAAGAACACTCATGGGACAGGAATACAAGCTTTCTGTAAGTATCTTCTGCAAATACAGGAAAAAAGACTTAGAGAGCAGCACTAACATGAAGGAGGGCATCCAGGCATTAAAATAGAAAGGTTTTAATGCTGACTGGGGGCAGGGGATAAAAGTCCAACTTAATATAAAACCAGAACACTGGTAACTGACATTTAGTTCAGACCTGAAAATAACTAATTTGTTTTTCTACTAAGAGTTGACTTAGATTTTTTTTCTCTCATTTTGAATCAATTAAATTTTGACACTGCATTAGGCCTAAGGACTGTTGCAGTGATTCTCTTACAGATTTTTTACAGAAGCAAGATCATATGGTGGTATTCTCATCTTCTCTTGACTTTACAACATTTGACTCCATAGAGGCCTAGTTTAATTCAAGAAGCAAGGATTTACTTCCACTGGAGAACAAATTTCCTGAAAGAACTGTCTACTAAATGGATTGTCAGTAATGGCATGGAAAATTTCAAAAGGGAAATGTACAGTAATCTAAATTTGGATCAGTCAGACAACTCAACAGGTGGGAGAAGATACAGAGTTCTGTGATATGAGTCCAGAGATAAAAATGCTTGGTCAAGTGACTGAGCTTACAAAATGAGAAAAAGTTGAAAGCTGGGAAGAAATAAAAGGAAAAGGTTTTAGGTTTTGTTGTTTGTTAAGGTTTAGTAAACTAATTTCACTGAGGCAAAACATACACATTTTTAAAACAAAATACTTCCACAAGTTCTGGGAGCTCCAAACTTTACTCCTAAACATGTACCCCTGTTTAATTGTGCTGAGCAGATCCTTGTACCGCCCTGGAGAGCTGCATTGACATAAAGTGAATCATTTGCAGACACACATTCTGAATTAAGATCTCAGTAGTGAGGGATTAGCCAGGGTTACCCAACACTTGCTCAGGTTCAGAAAGACATTCCCAAAGAAGTCAGAGATTAGTAACAATGAGGCTCAGATACATTGAATTCATGCCATAGTGTGCATTTTGCACTTTTGTTCCAAGGCAGAATCTGGCCCACCTACTTGTATATTCACTGTGTGAAATGTTCCTGGCTGTTGTGTCTCCACAGCCAGAGTCCCAACTGCTGCTGAATGAACTGGGTCAAACTGGGAAAGGAAGAATCACCTTCATAGAACAATTGCTCAGAGATGTAAGTTACATTTGCTGAAGTTTCCTTTTTCAACTCTTTGACTGTTTACTGCATGAATATTAGCCTGGAATGCTTGGTGATTAGGAGGCAACAGCCTTGCAATACCAGTCTTCAGACTGAAAGAGCATTTTGGAGAAGATAGGGTCTGTTTTACATTTATAGATGTAAAATTCTGTTTGGTCAGTGCATAAGGGAGTCTTCTCTGGGTTTGTCAGAGGCAAACAAAAAAGAAAGTATTAGTTTTATAATTTAGGATCAAGTCCTCTGTATAGCAAAAGCAAACAATCTGTATTTCTGTTCTGGGATCTCATTTGGCTACTGCTACACACATTTTCTCTGGCTTTGAGCTAGATGACAAACATTTTCAGAAGAAAGCAAAACAACACACTGAACCTCTGTCCTGAGCATGAAGCCCATTTGCCAACTTGAATTGGCACAACACAAAAGCAAGGTGGAAGCTGAAGCATCTGTATGGTTTTACCAGCCCCCTTTGCCTCTGCTGTGTTCCAGGGAGCTGACCCCAATTCCCTGAGCGAGGAGGAGCGCCCTGCCCTCACAGTCGCTGTCCTGAACAAGCACACAGGAGCCATCTCCCCTCTGGTGCAGAAAGGGGCTGACATTGACCAGCAGTCAGGGCCGTAAGTGAGCTCTGATCCTCTGCCTTAGCTTTTCCACCTTTCACCAAGAAAAATCACACTTGCTCTGGTTTTAGAGAACTAAACCCCACCTCTCCTTCACAAATCTGCTCCTTTCCATAGCAGTATCCATACTCCTTCCAGTTGCTAGCTTTGAAGATTTCTCATAACTTTTTTTATAAAAGCTGCTGTTCTATTCAGTTCCTTCTCCCATCCACTTCAACTCAATATGATTAAACCCCACTGAAGCATACCACACTTCTAGGGTGTTCTGTATACTCCTGTTCATTTTCCTAAGTTTTATTTGCTAAGTTTCCTTAGGTAAAAACGGTCATTGCTCATTCCTCCTGTGCAGGCACAACAACACAGCTCTCCACGAGGCAGTTCTGCTGGGACTGGAGGGAGAGGAGTGCATCCGAGCCCTGTTATGGTAGGTACTGTGGCTGGGCCTCCACATCAGCTCCCCCTAGCCTGCCAGCACAGACCTGCTTGGCACCACTGGAGAGCCAAAGCCTGCCCCATGTCCCTGTGGGAAGGAGCATCCAGGAATTCCAAAGTTACTCCACATCAACACATTCACCTACAAGCCACTCCATCACTAAGTGCACTCACTTGGCAATTAATTTAAGCAGTTAAAACCAATCTGTTCTGTATTTACAGCTGCAATGCAAGCGTGCAAAAGAAGAATGCAGCAGGGCACTCAGCGCTGGATTTGGCTGTTGCAGCTGGAGATAATAAGGTTATTTCACTGCTCCAAGTAAGTCTGGATAGAGAACATTGAACTTGTGAGACACAGGAACACTGTTCTCATCAGTGTGTTATTACAACAAACTTTTTCCCCAAATAAAGCTGAAGTTTCTTTGACTTTGGGAGCACCTCCTCACGTGTGTCCAGTTCTGTCTGCAGAATTCACAATCCTGTGTGATCAGCTTGGGCCCTGCAAGAGACAAGTCTTTTCTCCAAGATTGCCCCATTCCTTTCTGGCAGTTCAGAGCACAATTCCTCTCTGACTGCACTCTATTCTGCAAATTTTCTTTTCCTTTCCAAACAAAGGGACAAACTGAACCTTCTAAGGCATAAATTAATTTCAATGTCTCCAAAATGTCTATAATCCCTGATGAACTCTGCTCATGAGTTTGACACCTGAGCAACAGCACTGCAAGCTGTAACTGATGAGCTTATTTTGCTTTTTGATGTTAAAAATGCATTTAGCACAGCCCATTGCAGTAAAGGTCAGATTCTTGTCCTCCAGGAAATCAAGTAAAACTTTGTTGTTCTGCCTTCAACTTTTATTTATAAATGCATCAACATGAGGCAGCAGCCAACTACAAACAGAAGTTTACAAGAATACCAGGCACACTAAGGTGTGGTACAACTCAATGTTACTAGCCACAATCCTAAATCCCTGAAGTATTTTTAAAACTCCTTCCTCTTTCTATGTTCCAAAGTATCTAAAAGCATTGGTATATTCTGTACAAAAGTGGAAATGCATGTCAACTCCTATCAGAGATACAAGTTTTAGCACCAGAGCTACCAATATCTCTATGAGACTGCAATATCTCTAAACACCTGGATTTACAAAATATAAAAAAGAAAAAAAAAAAAAAGCAAGTAAACCCACAAATTCTTTAAAAAACAGAAGGAAAATTAGGAGAACCCTATAGAAAAAGATTATGTACACAATGCATCAAACTGCAGGTACTTCCCAGACAGACTCAGAGGAGTGAAGCAGAATTCCGTCTGCTTCTCAGGAAGAGCCAGTCTGGAAGCAGCCTCAGGAAACACGGCCATTCAGTCACAGGGGCAGTGCCACAGCATGTGGACAAGACAGACGTCACTGGCAACTCTGAAGCTGCAGCAGTCTAGGCCAGATTCTTTATACTACACCGCTGGATCTTGGCTTTATCTTCAACCTTGGTCATCTTCTGAGAAACCTCTTTTTTCTGTAAAAAGTAAAAATAATATATTACTCTCTACCACTAAGTGGAGTATCGTTCAGCTTCGAGGGGAAAGCAGAACACATCCTGCATAAAGCACGGCTGAGAACCAGGAAAGGGCACAGCCCCAACCTGGATGCAACAAAGCACTCTGCACAAAGCCTTGTGCAGCCCAACAATCCAAGGACTAGAAGCCCGTGTACGTACAAGTGCCTTTCTCATTCGCAGTTTGTCCAGCTTCAGGAACTCCTGCACCGTCAGGTTAGCAGGCTCTTTCCGAAGAGAAAGAAAACCACAGTCCGCAGAGTGCTTTTTGTGTTCCTCCCTGAATAGAGGCGAAACGAAAGAGAAAATAAAAGAGAAGGCAGCAGCTCCCAACGAGCCGCACGCAACCGCTCTCCCCCGCCGAGCCCCTCGGTTGCCACCAGCGGTTCCCCCGGGCCGGGGCGGAGGCCGAGGGATCCCCCGGGTACTCACAGGGGGTCGTCCTCGGGCTCCCAGCCCTCCAGCTCCTTGAGGCAGAAGAAGCACTGCGCCACGTCGGGGCTGTTCTCGCTGGGGCAGTGCACGAAGCCCGCCGCCGCCATCTGCGGGCACAGGGGAGGCCG